CTGCAAATTTCCAAATTCTTTTTGGTATACGCTCAGTTTTTTACTCATTCCGACAAATATTTAAAATTATTCTGATTTCTAATGCAATTCTTGAAGCTAGTAGATTGCCCTCATTGCAGAAGATACTTAATTGTCACCAAAAATGCCACAATAAAATGTTAATGATAAGCCGTAACCATTTTCTAAAAAAATTAAGTTTTGATTGTTTATTTTTTTGATAGTTTCATATCGTGGATCTTAAAAACGTGTTGCTTTGAAAAGAGAATTGCAGTTAACAATTTTGCACCACTCTGAAATCAGCTGCAAAAAATTGATGGTTTCTACCGCTGCAGTATTTTTCTTAACAAAAAGCTTGAAACAAAGGGACACATTTTGCCTCTCCATAGAAGTTGGAAATAAAACATTTCGAGGTAATGATGGAGCCAGCTTTATAACACAATTTTGTTCCTCTTGATAGAAATGCTTTAAAAATGATAATGAGACGTAACACTTCTCTTCAACAAAGTTACAATTAACATCGCATTTTTGGTATGATAAAAGTTTGATTTAGATCTTTTTGATTTAACCAATTATTGCGAAGATATTTAAATAAACGAACAGGATCAAATAAATTTAAAATTTGGTGATTTTTATACGGATTGATGAAACTTGTTTGAAGTTTGCTGTCCCTAAAAGTTTCAAATATTTTTCGGTTTACACTAAAATTGTCACTGCATAGATACCACTTCGTAATTAATGTTTGTTAGCACCTGAAGTATATTTTTCGTTAACGTATACAGGAAGTTAAAATTTTGATTAGAAACTGGGAAAAGCCCTACAGCAACTTTATTCTGTGACAGAAGAGACCGAATCATAAAGATCTGAATAGTTGAAGCTGGAAGAACGTCAACATGTTCGCCTTGGTTACAACAAAATCCTTCAATTTTGCCACCTTTATAACTGACGTTTGGTTTCACATATACATACTTCGTCGATCATTAAATTAACCCCGAAATTAACCAATCTTCCATGAGGTGATACATGTTTTAATTTCTCTTTCAAATAATTTATATGTTCAAAATAATTTTTTCAAATAGTTTGGGTGAGTACTGGTCAAAAATTTAAAATTTTCCAAAGAATTATATGCTCCAGTGTATGTAAAATACAATCTTGCGACCCATCCCAAAGTGTCCGATGTATATCTTATTTGTTTCGCTGTCATTAACTGTAATTAGTCTTTAAAAACTGAATTCCGAGCGTTAGCGACCCTCTACTTTTACGTTTTCTCGACCTTTCATGACCCCTAGAGTACGAAGAAATAAGTCTCCCGTTTTCGTCTGTCTGTCCGTATGTCAGTCTGTCTACCGTCACGGATTTTTTTTTTAGACAGATAATCTCCGAAAGCACTGGGCCGATTATTGTCAAATTTTGTATTTATATTAGGAATATCATGTAGATGGTAAAACGCTAACCAAAATTTGTCTAAACAGCCCATTTCAAAGTTTTGCCGAATAAATTCTGCCCAAAATGTGCAAAATATGATGAGTTTTTACTTATGTATTATCATTGAATTCATATTTTTTTAAATCGTAATAACACGCGGAAACCTAAACTTAAGTGAACTGGTCAACACGCTAGCACGAATGCGGATGAATCTATTAGGTACTAATCTAAAGAAGTACAGGTACCCATCCCAGATAGAAAAGGTCACTATAACGAGAAACGATGACGGACGCCTCTGACTGTGCGCCTATTCCAAAAAGCCGAATATGTTTCATTGTACTTCAGGAGCGAGGGAAGTTCCGTCGAAACAACGTCATTAATTTCACTATCATTTCACTATCATTTATAACATTACATGCTTCTTCAAACATTTCAATTATTTCATTAAATTTGTCTTTGATATTTCATCCTTCTTTGGTTTGTCTTTCTTGATTTTGAACAACCAGGAGCAATGAAAATAATTGTGTCCAGGTCGAACACATACACCACGAAGATTTCTTCCGAATGTCCTTGACAGTTTTTTTTAATGTCACATTCCCAGAACTTACAGTCACACGTAGATCTCTGTATACAGGGTGTCCCAGAATTCGCGCCATTCCCGTGAATGACATGTTCCCTGTCCCGAACTGTGCCGTAATTCGCAAAAAGAATTGTCCAGGCTTTAACCGTGTGAGAACTGGAAGGCGATTAAGTTGACCAATAGAGAGGCTGCTTTTATATCCGAACGCTTCTATGTTCAAAGTTACCTATGCCAAGAACAAAAAATCCGGTAATACTAAAGTTGAATGAATTTTTTCCGAATCCCCCTCCGTCAACAAAAGGAAACAGAAGTGTGGTTATAAATTTAATCATTTTGACAATTGTTTGTCATAAACTGTCACGAAATTCATCACTGACCTGAAGAGACGCTTCTGCGCCAAAGATGACTGATTAATGTACACAGAGACGTCAAGGTTTAATTTAAGGCAAGTAGCTTGGAACAGAAGTTATTTCTGCTGCCATTCTAGTTAAATTGTGTTTAACTGGGCTGTACATGTCATAAGAGAAGCTGTTTCATTTCATCGTAGGCAAATAACACATTTATTACTATTCTACATAGTGTAGATACCGAAGAGCAGGTTTTAGAAGTAATTTTCTTAGAGCCCCGTGAATAATGTGTTGTTCTTTTTAACGAAAATTAGTGCATTTTCAGAATTTCCTATGCATCATATCCCTGATATTAAGTTTAGCGTTATTTCTAAAAAGGAGTACTACATGTCCATTCAAAAAACGTTATTAAGTGTACTAAAACATAAATATTCCTTTTCGAGAAAATGAACATTCGTCGGCGAAAAGAATGTGCCGTGAAAAATCAGGATTTAGTTCATTTTGTCGGAGTAACCATTGAGCAACATGCACTCGTCGCCCAGTCGGCTCGTCGCAGATGCTGCACTTTCGTCAATAGTAAGGATGCAGATTTTTGTCTGTCAGGATACGATGCATGATGGATCTTGAGCATCCATTCATTTGTGCCACTTGTTCTTCACCGTCTACGTGTATAATCCGTGAAGCCCCAGGAAGGCCTTTCCGAATATGCTGAAAAGATCCATCTTCTTTTGCTGGATGCAACAAACGACGAAACACATGCTGGTCAAGGAGCCGGTGATTGGGGAAAAGACCTGTATATTCGCACACAACAGTGGCTGCAGAGCGTTTACATTCTCCATAAACTATAACATCATTTCCAAATATTCTTTATACTAGTATGAATAAGACATCAATAACTTAGTGGTATTGGTACTATTTATAGTTTGTATTGTTCTTAAAAAAAAAATGCAACTAAACGATTTTTGTTATAATTTTTATTCGTATCTTTTCAATCTCTAGAAAATACTCACAACTTTAAAGCAACTGTTTTAAATCATCATGTGCAACATCAATATTATTCTTGAATAAGTCTCCGTTTTCAGTATCTCCCCCACATGATTGACACCACAGCAGATACCTATGATCTCAATACACCAGAGAAGTGGAGTCTCGTCTCTTTTTTCGTTGCTTAGATTAGGTATCAGCAACAACAGCTGTTCAATAAAAATTGATACTGTTTATTGAAAATCATAAGCACCGATTAATCAAAAGCGATATTTATGTTTTAGTACACTTAATAACGTTTTTTGAATGGACATGTAGTACTCTTTTTTAGAAATAACGATAAACTTAATATCAGGGATATGATGCATAGTAAATTCTGAAAATGCACTAATTTTCGTTAAAAAGAACAACACATTATTCACGGGGCTCTAAGAAAATGACTTCTAATACCTGCTCTTCGGTATCTACACTATGTAGAATAGTAATAAATGTATTATTTGCCTACGATGAAATGAAACAGCTTCTCTTATGACATGTACAGCCCAGTTAAACACAATTTAACTAGAATGGCAGCAGAAATAACTTCTGTCCCATGCTACTTGCCTTAAAGTAAACCTTGACGTCTCTGTGTACATTAATCAGTCATCTTTGGCGCAGAAGCGTCTCTTCAGGTCAGTGATGAACTTCGTGACAGTTTATGACAAACAATGGTCAAAATGATTAAATTTATAACCACACTTCTGTTTCCTTTTGTTGACGGAGGGGGATTCGGAAAAAATTCATTCAACTTTAGTATTACCGGATTTTTTGTTCTTGGCATAGGTAACTTTGAACATAGAAGCGTTCGGATATAAAAGCAGCCTCTCTATTGGTCAACTTAATCGCCTTCCAGTTCTCACACGGTTAAAGCCTGGACAATTCTTTTTGCGAATTACGGCACAGTTCGGGACAGGGAACATGTGATTCACGGGAATGGCGCGAATTCTGGGACACCCTGTATTGTTAGTTTTTGCAGAATAGGCTCATGCGTTACTTTATCCTCAAAAATTAAAAAAATTTGTGAAAAGTGTTTTATACACATACAAGCTGAATTTTTTGGGATAAAGTCTTGGCGATGTACATATTTTCCTCAACCACTTTTTTTTTCAATTCGGTATTAGATGGAAACCGAAAAACTGTTACATTTTGGTGTTCTGATGTGGCGTAATTACTTTTTTTCACTAGCAGCCAGGACGCATGCAAATGTCGACTCATTTAGTGGTAGCAAATTCAACTTTTGCTACCACGGGTTCAAAAAGAAAAATTGAGTTATGTACGCAATGTTTGATGTGATTATTTCTTAAAAAATGAATAAATTTGTGCTACAAACATTACTTGAGTATACGCATGATAGTTGGTAGACGGTAGAAGATAAAATGATTAACTCAGCGACAAGTATAAACGGTTTTCTTTGTGTTGAAGATTTAGATTAAGTTTGATTAGAAATCAAAACAAAATCATGTTGCGTCAAAAAATTGAACGTTTATTTTTTCAATTTATTGTCTTATGGTTTCTACTAGTGAAAAAAATAGTATATTAACCACGGTTGCAAAGCCACTTCTAGACCTCGCGCTTCAGAGCCCTCGACGCTGCGCGTCTCGGGTTCTAATTTGCGCTCGGTCTACAGTCGTCGGCATTTCGATTTAACCACTCCCTAGTGTAAGTTTTCAAAATTTCGCTGGTGTAAACGGCTTTCCGTACCTTTTTAGAGAGAAAATGGCCGACGATTAATGACATTAGTTACTTTTTTTTGACATTTGTTTGATCGCCGTCTTATAACAAGGTTCTGTGCTTACAAGGCGACGGCTTATTAATTAAGGGGCTCTTTTATGTGGGTTAGAGCTTAGGGTACGCATTTTCAGGGCACATACACCGACATTATCAAACTGTGGAATCGAAAGTGCAGTATAAATCTGCACTGCCACAATTGATGGTATAAGCAGTTAACAGTTTACCATCTCGTTAACAAAAGGTGGACATCAATAAAATGGGCAAGTACGACTCAAAGGTATAGTGAAAATTGGAACTTTTATTTGTATTTTTACCTATCTATGTACAAGGATGGTGTACGAAGAATGACCACATGACTGGCAGTTTGTATTAATATTTCCATCAGTCTTATTTGTGCTGCCATGGACGATACTGACTTATGGCTTGGTTCTTCTGAATCACAGAACTCTGGTGCTTGTACTAATAATGCGTCATTAGAAGATTTACACATTTTAATGAAATGTTACCAGAACTGTTGAGTATTTTGAGCCCACTGTATACAAATAAATATGAGAAAATTGTAGGTTATAATTTATAAGAAACTACATGAAGTATTTAAAGAGATAAAGCGTGAAGCAAAAGCAAGTGATGTAAAGAAGCAGATCAATTCACTAAGGTTGAATCACAGGAGGGAATTAAATAAAATGAAATGTTCTAAATGTGATAGAAAGACAATTCTCAATGAACATAATTTATAGGAACATAAACAGTAGTCTCAACTGTTACAAATCAGTGTATTGTCAAAAACTTTAACAATGGAATAAAACAGGAACAACTAACTAAAACTCATTAATACAATAATTGTTAAAAGGTGTGACATTTATTTACTTAGCAAGGTAAATTAATCATCTATTACCTCTACAATAATTGTTTCTATATCATTCTCTGCATTCATCCATTCACACATCTCAACATCATCTACACAAAGCTGCTGGCCTTCTCCAATATTGCCTTGTGTTTCATTCATACTGGTTTCAGGATCCATACTTACATTTAATGTTCTGTTGGCTAATACATCATCCTGCATAATATCACTTATACTGTCATCTTCATCTGAACTTAAATCAGATTCACTATCAGATTCTCCAAGTGATATTATGACAGGAGGAATATCTTTAACACTGGTATTACCCATCATTCTTTGCCAATCATCCTTGATAATATTTTCACAGTGGATTACACTTGATGTCCACATCTCTGGTGTATATTTAGACATAGCTTCAATCCACAAGTGCTTGATTTCTGATTTTTTGGAAGACTGCTTCAAGATGTGTTTGTTATAATATGGTTTACAGAATCCCCATACCATTTCTATAGCATTATAGTGGCAGTGATATGGAGGTAAACGTAAAACTTCAATATTACTCTTTGACAACAACTCATCAATCTCATATTTACGAGTTGATGGTAAAAGAGGTTTGATAATATCCCAAAGCTGTTTTTTTGTCAAATTATCGCCAAAAGGAATTTTTTTTTGTGCAAGCCAAAATTTTAATTTTGATTTAATCCAAGACAAACGAGGCAATTGTTCTGCTAACACCGAATGATAAGGTGCATTGTCCATGATGATAACAACCTTACCGTTAATAAAATTAACAGATGGAATTAACTGTGTTTCCACCCATTGCCTGAACAATTGCCCGTTCATAGTCTTGTGGCGGCACAATAACACGCGGGTAAAGCAGAGTAAAGATAAGTTGTCTTGTGGTGTAGCGGTTAGCATACCAGCCCGGATAGCTTGGAGACGTGGGTTCGAATCCCACCGAGGCACAACATTTTTCTCTGCTTTCCCACATTGGTGACCACCGACAGGCAACGCGCACGCAACATCCTTCTGCCACCGCCCTGTGCCCGCCGCTGTGTTCGGGGTCCGCAGCACCGCCAGGGTTCGAACGACGAACGTAAGAGTGGCAGGAGCGACGCCAGCAACCATCTCCTTCGCACCCCAGCACGACCGCGCGCTGTGTCGCTGGGGGGGGGGAGCACTGTGGCGGCACAATAACACGCGGGTAAAGCAGAGTAAAGATAAGTTGTCTTGTGGTGTAGCGGTTAGCATACCAGCCCGGATAGCTTGGAGACGTGGGTTCGAATCCCACCGAGGCACAACATTTTTCTCTGCTTTCCCACAGTCTTATGATAGTCCCTGCTATCATTATTGCTATCTAAAAATAGCAAGCAGTTTTCCAAAAAACCAAATTTACCCCCTGCATGAAGTATGGTAAACCTTCTACCCTCATTCATTACTATTTTCGCAGGCATGCCTCTCCGATCACTCTCATGCACCCATCTTCTTACTGGTACACCATGCTGATACACCCACGTCTCGTCTAAATAAACAAATGTCACATCTTCTTCCATTAACTGTATGTAACGCCTTAAAAATGTAATTTTTAATCCCTGTAAGCGGGGCGACTCAATTATAATTTTCCTGTTTTCAACTTTTTTAAAATTGTAACCCATGGATTTAATAACCCTTCGTAGAGTCCGGATACTTGCGTTGTAATTAAGATTTTCTGTGGCAAAATTAAATAAATCCTGAATTGTAAAAAACTCATTCTGACGATTTTTTTCAAATATGTGAAAGTTTAGGTCTTCTTTGAATTCAAAATCCGTAAACCATTTTAACTTCTTTCGTGGGGAAGGTCTAGGATCTTCGGGAAGTTGTCCGGATTTGTGTTGGAGTAAAAGCGTTCTTACTTGACTTCTTGAACACTGCAGGAAAATGAGCTGCTTAATGATAGGATAAAAGGATGTTACTGAGTCACTGGTTGGTGTGAAAAATGGACAACGTGAACTGTGTGGTGGACAAGTAACATTGGAAATGTTATAGTTACTACCAAGATTTCGTACTGAAAAAATATTCGCTAGTCGTAACTCGTGTTCACGCTGGGAAGACGAAGGATATGCCCGTTGAAACTCTTCGTAACATTTTACAATAGCAGCTTTTATTTGTTTTTTGAACAAAGTTCGCGTTCTTGGCTTCATAATAATTATTTTCAAATTCAAACGCTCTCTTTTTGAATTTGAAGCACGCTGCGCTAGTTCGAAGTTGTTTGAGTCGTTTACGAGTCGTTTGACGTTATTGTCGGTTACAAACGTCAAAGCGCTGCCAATCCGAGGGGCTTAAAATTACCATGGCAATAATACCAACCTGACGTTTTAACAAGTGGTTTTATCCATTTGCCGACGACTATAGAATGCTTGGCCTTGCAACCTTGGCTAATAATATACTATTTTCCCCTCCTGACATGTAAACAAAACATTCACACACGTTTGACATGCCGCGTAACAGTGACTTTACGCACCAAATATCAATTTACCGTCGCCTTACCGCCTTTGGGTGCCAAAGTAACTCAATATGCATTAGCCTGTAGAAGCTTTAATAAAAAAAGTGCTGTATAAATAATAAAAGAAAACATACAAGAACACTACTTTACATCATGTTTTGTTCAATCAAAACTTTTGAAATAGAAAAAAATGAATTATTTAAAAAAAAATCACATGGCGCCACCTCGTGACTGTCGGTATTATAGATTCCTTCAGTAAACGTCAAGTCCCGAAACTGTCACTTCATTTCTTGCCATTTCGGAAAATATTTTTAAAATGAAATATTTTTTAAAATAAACTCAATGTCGGGGAAAAATTTTAATACAATTTTCGTTCGTTAGGCATTTTGCACGTTGAGGTCCTAATTTGCCACCCGACGCGAAGCGGAGGGTGGCATGGGACCGAAACCTGCAAAATGTAACCTACCGCACTCATAATGTAAATAACTATTACAATCGGGTACACAACAACAAAAAGGCATTTTATAATCAAATGAACTAACTACTTTACAGGATCTAAAGTCAATGGCTTGCAATCGGAAACTGAAAACCAGGATCCAAAAATTCTTCGAAAACTTGATAAAAAACATGAACGAGTTCAACTAGTTATTATGCATTCCTTTGACGGATTTTAAAAAATGAATGAAATTTATTACTAGGTACCCCTTTTTCATTATATCGTACCGCTTCGAATGAACCTAAAGGTACATAGTGTTGGCAACATGTTGACGGAGTGTTGGCAACTTGTATTTGGATACATGTTGGCAACTTGTATTTGGATACATGTTGTCAACCGTGTTGCGCGTCCAAACCAAAACCAGTTGTCCGTTCAAACCACACTCAGTCTTGATTTAAAAATGGAATAGACTGTTGCTGCCGGTGCTAGTGCTGCGTTTATTATAACGGCTGAGAATGCCCGCAAACGAAGAAGAAGATGGTGGCAGAGAGAGTTTTTAAAAAATGGAATAAGTCATGGCGATAATTTGATGTCGGAATTACTCTTGAATGATGGTAGCTCGTTCCGCAATTTCGTGAGGCTAACGAAAACGGATTTCGAAGAAATTCTTTGTTTAGTAGCCCCAAAAATTTGCAAAAAATACAAATTATCGTGCGGCTATTCCACCATCAATCAGATTAGCAGTTACTCTGCGATATTTGGCTACAGGCGATTCGTTACTAACTCATTCTGCACCACTTGTTAAGAACAGTGTGGACCATACACACCAGGCTATGTTTTCCATTTGAAATGGGCAACAGGGATACAAGCAACTATCAACAAATTTCTTTGATGTCATGCCGCCCGATGTTGCCGTGTATCCCGTCAACTTGTATCTTGTTGACGGGATACATGCTGGCAACAGAAGTTGCCAACATTTGTTGGCCGGTTTGTACGTACGTTTGGCTAGTCCAAGCAGTCAGTGCGATATATGGGAATATCGGCTTACAGTTGTGACGTCACACGGGCGAAGAGAGGCTGGAGGCTGGATTCTGGCTTGATACACTAGACGCAAACATTAGTGTGTTTATGGCTTTGACGTTTAAAGTACTTTACAGCCGACTCTTCATAAAACTTAGCAAATGCAAACCATGCCACGTGTCAGTACTGCCGAGACAGTACTGCCTTGTACTTTCATCAGAAAAGGTCTTTTCAGGTAGGTTATCGCAAACTTCGGTAGACTGGTATTACAATCATGGCCACGTTTTCTGCTACAATCTCGAGCATTCATAGAGACAATTACTATTTTTTCCAGGTTCAGCTCAGTTAGACGAGTTCTCCTAGATGTTAAAATGCTTTAAAAATTAACAATGACTGGTCAACATCACAATTTTCGTGATGATCTTGTTTAGATAAACCCTGATTTGCATCAAACGCCACTGAGGTTGTGACGTGGTTGAGACTGCACAGTCGGCCAGCCAAATTTATCGCCTGGTGTCGCGCCGGCGTACTTATTATTTGTCTGGCGGATTCCTCAGCAGTCGTCATCACTTCCAGTCTACCTAAGCCTGGTTATCCGTAAGCGGGTTTAAAACATCCGGCTGTGACGGCCTATTGAATTATAATGGACGTTAAATTGGTGTGAAGCCATAAACGCATTAAATTTTTGCGTCTAGTACACTATCGTACGATTCGTACGGCTTCGAGCTGACAAAGTCAACGCCTCGTGAGCAGGGGGGCTAGTATGGTCCTTGATAATAGTCCTCCAGATTCATTTATTTGTGCCACACACAACGTTTCTCTTGTATGCTTTTAAAATGAACCAAACCAGCGGACAGACAAAATAACTAAATTCAACGATTCTTCCCCCCTTACGATTCCCGCACCTCTCAAACGAAGTGTTACCGTTCCATCGCCCTTAATAATTTTCTCTTTTTTCTGTCAGACATGATTTGAAAACTTGTTCGTTTTAAAAAACGTGCTAAATGTTTTCAGTCATATCATATAAACATCAACATAAAAAATACCCAACGAAGCTTGCACAGGCATCCAACCTTATCCTCAATTTGACAGGGTTATTGCAAAGTAAATTGAATTTAACTATTATCGCGCCTATCCTTAATATTACGGTGGGAGTGTTCTTTGCAACCTTCAAACATTAGTATCCCGCCCACGCTATCAAACCTCACGTACACGTACACAGCTAGTATCATTAGGTGGCTGTCCTTGACATTATTTGTACCTGTATAACATTCCGCCGCCACTTAATGACTTTTTCGCTTTATAGTTCGTTTCAAACTCTTTTGACTTGGCTTACCTATCAAGTGACGTCTGTGTTTTCTGTACGTTCATTCACTGGCAAGTAGGTACAGTGACTACAGTTTTAAGCATAAACATAACAACTTAAATTAGGCAGTTGACACATCTGAAAAAATTATTTAGACAGGACTTCCCTCGCCCCAGAAGTACAGTGCAACAAATCCAGCTTCTTTGAAAGATTAAAAAAAAAAAGATTTTGCGAATTTGTATTCGTGATAACCTCTATACATTAAAATAAATATAGATAAGTAATACCAGTGTTGCCTAAGAAGGTATATATAAATGACATCATATAAATTTGTTTTTTCCCTAGTAGCGTAGAAATGCACCATGTTTGTGAGTTGTGAATTCGTTTTTCTCTAACAAAGTCAATAATGCACAATGATAATTAAATTTGACCTAGGTTAATAATGGAAGTGAAGTTTTATTATTGACCAAGGTCAATAATAAAGATTGAGGTTATGTAATGCCTGACAAACGAAAATTAGCCATTATTACGTAATTTTTGAAATTATTGTCACGAGGAATGTAAAAGTGCTAACTGCCAGAACAGCATCTCGGGAGGGA